GTGTGTGTGTGTGTGTGTGTGTGTGTGTATGTGTGTCTATGTGTGTGTGTGAAGTTCTCACTCACCAACCTGTTTGACTAATTTCTAAACCTTTTGCACTTTATTAATACAAATGTGGCACAATATTTTAATTAGGACTTGTTTTAACGTTTTAATTAGGACTTCTGTTTAATATGATTAATATAATTTTATTATTTAATAACAACTTATTTCCTCTGATCAGTCAGAATAAATGTTGGATCCAGAGGAGCTCAGAATGTTTCTAACTTTGTGTCCTTCATCTGAGGGATGTGAAGCTTTGATATTTCTGGGGGGTGCAGTCGGCCCACATGGGTTCTTTATTCATTCAACATAACCATCATAACAACATACACAACAACACAACACCATAACCACTTCACAAAAGTTTGTCAAACTGGCATAAATAAAAAGCTGAAGCAACAAACAGAAAGGACAGATTTTTACAGTGCTGGATGATGAGCTCGTAACGTTTCAATGCTGTTTGAGATTTTTTCCCCCTCCGTTGTCAAAAACATCCAGTTTACGTAAGTCACGACAAATTGCGTAAAGCGGTCGCCTGCCATGGCGGCTCCATGAATCACTGTTTTTGTGAGAGGCATCTTCAGATAAGAGGCCCGGACGCTGATTAGAGGCTCTGTGAGGTGTCACGGTGGATAAATGGTCTTATATCAGATTTCATGCTGTCCGAACATTCATCTTGCTGTTTGAGCAAAGGTCACAGAGAAGATTAGGTGAGAGGAGATGAGGGATGTCAGTTTGTCCTTTTGGTTGGTGTTTCCTCTCACAAACTGACGTCGGGCCTCCGACTATCGTAGATCCTGTTTTAATGACTTCTCCGAGGTAGAAAACCATCACAGGCAGCTCTGAAGTTTTGGTTTGAGGCTGGGTTTTCTGCACGCGCTCAGTTCCGTTGGTGGCTGTGTTCGTTCAATCAATCATTAGAAAGATGGATCTTTAACATGTGTTGGCTGGTGTCTCCTTAAACTGAACACAAACTAGATTATTTAGTTCTGTGGGCAGCCCCGCTCATCAGGGCTCCATGGTTTAAAGAAGAAAACATGAGAAAAGATGTCGATTCTTATGATTCTTATAGTGAACTCAACAGAAAGGAGCCATGCGTTTAATGGTTAAAAAAAACAGAGTTGTAAAGTAACTAAGTACAAATTGTTATTTTGGTTATCTGTACTTCACTTGAGTAATTATTTTTCAGTGTACGTTTTACTTTTACTCTTTACATTTTTACACAATTATCTGTACTTTCTACTCACTTTCTTTTTACAAAGGTAAGAAAGTCATTACTCCTGTTTTATTCTGAGTTATACTTAAAAAAACTATCCTGATAAATTGTGTCTCCTGGATAGAGTGACTTTAATTGTGGTTGGATGAGAAGTATAAATTTATACCATTCTGACACCGTAATACTTGTACACAAACCACCACAGCTGCAGGCCTTTAGAAAAAATATTTTTTGAGAAGTCACCTCCCAATAAATGTCATTTTGGAAAATCTAACTGCTCACTTTTACTCAGTACTTTTAGTAGATTTTATGTCAGAAACTTACTTTTGATACTTAAGTACAAAAAATATCAGATACTTTAAGACTTTTACTTAAGTAATATTTTTAGACACGACTTTAACTTTTACCAAAGTATTTTTATGATAAGATGTACTTTTACTCATCACTTTGAGGTACTTTATACAACACTGAAAAAAAACACTTTAAATTAACACAACTAAATCCAACTAGAATAGTTCCTGGTGTAAATATGAAAGGGCTTGCCATGTGGCGTCTAATTTAAATAAAGATTTGGGGTTACTATTTGTTGGAGATTGTCAACAACCACACCAAATTTAACATCAACATGGCTAAAAATGGCTGAGTTATTGTCCGTTTAGCTATGGCGGCCATCTTGGATTATCTTTTTTGGATGATGATCATTCTCAGCTACCACCACACCAAATTTCATCATAATCTGGTGAAAAACGGCTAAGTTATGGTTCATTTTGTGTTTTATGGTGGCCATCTTGGATTTTTGATATGGCTTCAGTATGTGACGGGATCTTTTTCAGCTACCGCCACACAAAATTACAACCCGAAACGTCTTAAAATGGCAAAGTTATTACAGTTTTGAAATAGCTTTGGTGGCTATCTTTAATTTTAATTTCAGCTACAAACGGTTTTCAGCTTTGTAGGCATATTTTTCTATAATAACTGAGTTATTTAGCTTTATTTCAAATTAGCATTAGCAGTTAGCTTAAACTTGTGATTTGCATTGTGTTGAGCTGTCAACCCACCAAATTTCTGCTTTTTATGTCTTAAAATGCTGAGCGAACTGGGTGCCTTGTTGAATTACAGAAACAGTCTGAACGTGAGACAAATTTAACATGGAGCGGAACAGCATGAGAACTGGTGGTGCTTTGAGAAAAATAAAATGTTTGTCCTGCCGCAAAACCAGAAATATTGACTGAAAGGAGACAAAAATACCTACGTTTTGATATAAAAGTTACAGCAAGAAGTTGTTTGCTGAGAAATCGAACTGACAGCTCTTTTTAGTTGAGAGCAGAAACAGTTTTGAATAAAGTTTTTTGGTGTCGTTCCTTCACAGTAACTCAAAACACCAATAAAACCGCTTCACAATGATTCATCTGATTTCATATTCTTTTGAATTAATAAGCCCTAATAATACTTTTGAAAACTGTCACGCGTCTTTTTAATAATTCGATAAAAAAATGTAAAAAAAAGTGTTGAAAAAGTAAAGATGCTTTGAGTCTGAAGAAATGGAAAGTTGTTTCCTGAGTTCACATAAAAAGGCAATAATTTCCAGTTTAAATGTTTTTAATTAAAGCTGCTAAGGTTGGCAATCGTCTAAATGCCTCTCTGTGTCTGTTAGCAAAATATCTCATGACCCAATAGAGGGATTTTAATGAAGTTCTCAGAAAGTAAGCATTGAATGTGCATCTATAACTGATTACCTTGTAAAGTCTTATTATTATACTTATTATAAGGTTGTAATAAATTCTACGGTCAACTGAATGGTTGTGTTGGTTTTATAGGTGTTGAGCTCCAGTTCAGTGTGGTAGTAGCTGGGAGTACTTCATGACACACAGGTCAGGTGCCAGCAGCTTTTTCAGGATGTGAGCGACATGCGTTCCTACCAGAAACGTCAGTTTCATCACGTTTATAAAACTGCTGCAGCTAATGTTAGCGACGCTGTGAGAAACACACGAACGCACACATGAATTTCTGTGCTTTTTGTTACAACTTCTGGTTTTGATTGAAACTTTGGTGAATCGGACTGAGTGAGCTGTTGCAGCGTATGAAGTAGAAAGTGTTGACACTGTTAGCGACCGTTAGCTGAAAGTCATTCTGAGCTTTACATATAATGTTATTTTCAGTTATAACGTGTCATTTTTTAAATATAATTAATTTTAGTCTAAAACTCTTGAAATGTCTTAAATTTGTTTATTTATTTGTTCCTCCCTTTGCGGTGGATTTCCTTTACTTTTTGTTGGAACTTTTACATTTGAACATAAAGCCTCACTGACAAAAGTTGCTGCAACAATGATCTTTATGAGGAGTAAAGAAGTCATGATGAGTCACAATGATCACTTATTGTGTTTTCTGCAAAGCCCTGCACTGTAAAAAAGGGTTTGTCGATTCAGGTTTGTTTAAAGGGGACCTATTATGCAAAATTGACTTTTTAAAGTTTTTTTTAACTCAACTTTGGGTATGTACTTCTTAAAAAAACAGTTCTAGGACCAAAAAAAATGCACCCAGGTGCATATTTACTGTAAGTAAATGTATTTTTAATGTATATTAACGACAAGTTTTATACTTCCGTCATTTTGTGATGTCACAAGCCGTACGACAACCCACCGGAACCTGCGATCAGCCCCTTACCTAGCAACTCCCGGGTGAAGCTCCACCTCCTCAGTATAAAAAGCCGTCACAGTGTTATGTAATGTGCAGCTCATTTCACAACAAGCCTCCAATAGGGCAATGGGTAGAGTGTTGGACCAGAGAGTGGGAAACTAGGATTCGAGACCAGCATGGACACAATTTCATTATTTATTTTCATTCGTTATGAACACGTTTTCACATGTACCTCTATTGTTTAGCTTATTAAAGCCTTGTTAAAGCCTATTTGTTCGAGTTTCTGAGGTATTTTGACCGCTGCTGCTCCCTGCTCTGGTAACAACATGCAGAGTGAGCGCAGAGCAGAGGAGGGAGAAAAAAAGAAGCTGGGACCACGACTCTGCCTCTGGGTCTCATATGGTTGTACAACGGAGCTTCTGCTATTATTAGCCATGCTAACGTAAACGCTGGCTTTGGAGGGCGGAGTTAATGTCAACAGATTTTCGGAGGGCGTTACCAACAGAGCTCATTAACATAAACAGCTCTTCTGAACGGAAGTCAGAGCAGGCAGAACTAGAAAATGGGAAATTTTATTATCTGAGAATTATTTTGTGCATTAAATTGAATGAACATGGTCTGGATACCCCACAGACATACCATAAACATTTCTAGGACCCATAATTGGTCTCCTTTAACTTGTATTTTATTTCCTTTAAAAAATGCATATATGTTTAAGTGTGGTTAAATGAAGTTGAAACAACACTGTCTTTACCCAACAGATCCCCAACAACCTGTGGCCCAGCCCGGCTCCCGGGGGCTCCGTGGTCTCCTCCTGCATGCTGCCCCGAGGCTCCCCGCCATGCGTCACCTCCTACTCCCACTCCCCTCGCTCGGCCGCCGCGGGCGCAGCCGACCACGGCTACGTGGGCTTCCCCGGCCAGCAGAACCAGTTCGGCCACGTCTCCCTGAACAACTTCTTCGGCGCGGACTCCCTCCTCACGCCGGCCGCCGGCTCCCACCCGGCCTTTGAGGCCAAACCGGAGTTCGAGAGGCGCTCGTCCAGCATCGCCGTGCTGCGCATGAAGGCCAAGGAGCACACAGCCAACATCTCCTGGGCCTTGTGAGCCGGCTCGCCGTAGCTGTCCGGGCAGCCTCGACGTGACGGGAATGATTCCCGCTTTTCCTGAACGTGGAGAAACTGCTTTGAGATTCTGACACCGTGTTTGTGATAAACATGTGAGGACTCCGCTGCTGCACATCTGACCAAACTTTCAGTCGCAGTGAAGACAATCTGGGCGTGTAAATGTGGAAAAAAACTTTTTATCAGTTTATGGCTCCATGCTTGTTCTGACGTTAGCTTATAAACACAACTCAGTCAGTTTCATCGGTCGACAAAAAGATTATAACCAAATGAACACACATCATTTAAAATATTAGCTGAACATCCAGAGCCGTTTCCTCTCGGGTCAGAACAGACTTTTAATGACCTCTGATGATCTCTGGAGGTGAGAGCTGTGGTGTGTTTTGTCAGTGGAGGTCAGGAGGTCAGCGTTTCCTCTTGACGGAGGCGTAAAGCTGGCCGACAGGGAGCAGTAAAAAGTAAAAGCTTTTTAAAGATTTGTGTGCAGAGCGGGGGAATCCTGAGGGAGGTGTCCCGAGCCCCGAAACGTTTCCAAGTGCTGCAAATAAGCTTCTTTCATCTTTCCTCCGTCCTTTTCAGCTAAACGTACTAAAGATGAGCCGAAAAAAAAACTGAGTTGATGTAAAACATGTCTTTGTGCTTTGTAACAAAGTACAAGGTGGTTATGAGACTGTGTGTGGGTGACAAAATGCAGAAACGAAATAAACAAAATTGACTTCATTCTAGTGTGATGGAACACTTTTTTAAAAAAATAATTTTTAAAATAGAATTTCTGTCTAATTTTATTCACAAATGCTGTAGAAAAACCTCCAATGAAGTGCCTCAGTTTTATAGATTTTGTCTACAACTCACTTAAAATACGAAAATAAAGAAATTAGACATAATCCTGTTTGGAGAATGTATGTTTTGGAGTGGATTTCAGTGGAATTTATTAGTAAAAATCTGACAGAACATCAAACGTAGCATTAATCCTGCAGTTCTCTGGACTGTGACGTAGTTTGAGACACAAAATTACAAAATATTTAAAGTTTCCACTTGTTAACACAATGAATTGTTTCTTTAGGCACATCTGCACTGTAAAAATGAAATGTTGGATTTACATGTTATGTTACCTGGTTCCACTTAACTGAGTTGAGTAAACTCAAAGCAATATACCAGTTTTTTAGCCAAAGAACATGAGTATGTTGCTTTGAATTTACTCAACTCAGTTAAGTGGAACCAGGTAACATAACATGGTTACGTAAATCCAACATTTCCTTTTTAGAGTGTGTAACAGTTAAGATTCATGACATGCAGTTTGATTTTATAGTCACAAAGTGGCTTAAGTTTTTCTCTTTCTGTCTTCAGTCTGTCACATTTTAGTTTCAAACGTTGTCTCACATTTCGTGCACTTTTGGGTTTCAAATGTCTGCAACTCTGGAGCTTTTTCAAAATTGACAGTTAACTGTAGAACAAGCCCCCGTCACATGAAGAAAACAGAACTGTGTGAAATGTTTTGAGTTATTTTAGAAACTCTCACAAATGCTGTTGTTTATCTCCAACAGTCGACGGATGAAAAACTTTCTAACTCAGGCGTATTTATATTCGTAGAATAAAGATTAATGTGCACCGTCCTTTTAAATTAATAAATGAAAGAATCATGGCCCAGTGATATGCTGGCTTTTATATAAAACTCACAGAATTCTTACATTTAATCAGGAGATTTATACACTGTAAAAAAACCTGTCCATCTAATCAAATCTTATATCAGCCAAAAAATATTTTGCATCTTGTTTTGAGACTGATTTACTAAATAAGACCAGAATGTATAAGATTATTTTGTTAGCCTGAAAATTTGACTCAAATTAAGTGAAAATCTGCCAATGCACTTAATAAGATTCTTGAAATAAAGAAAATTTGGATCAAACTAAGTAACTCAAAAGCAAATGTAAATTTTTTATATTTTTGGTTAGATGTACATTTTTTGCTTTGTAAAAACATTATTAAATGTGTTTTATAACCCAGAATTACATATTTATTTAGTTAAATTGCTACATTTTCTAAAAGTTTGATTTTTTTGTCTAAATGATGTCACAGACAAATAAAATGAAGTCTCAAAAACAATTAAAGAAAGCCACTTGTTTGCACAGCCTGGAGGAAGATGTTACTCTCTTTCTAAACCAGTAACTATCAGAACATGACTGTAGAAATGACCAGACTTACTTTTTGTTTTTGTTCCATTTGTCTTTCATTCATGCAGTTGTCAGGAAGCAGCAGACACAGGTGAGTGGTGACACTTTCTATTTGTTTTGATCTGTTAACTTCTTACACAGTTCAAACATCAAATACAGAAATTTTCCTTTAATTATTATAAATGTGATATAAGAACAAGGCGCAGCTGAACTAAAAACGTTCTGATTAAACAATTATTCTCCGCTGCACTGATTGTGTCTCCGCCTGTCTGTTTCCTCTCTGATGCCATGCTTTCGTTTTGGCTCTGAGTTCACCATCACCAGCGGAGGATGTTTTCAGGGAAATCCCGTCTAAAGCAGCCGTGGGCTCGATTCAATTACGTCTGTGAGTTGAGTCAGATGCTTTGGAAACACGATTGTTTCCTCGGGGTAACTTCTTGGTTGCTGTCATTTAAAACTGCAGCACCAAGTGCTTTCTCCACATCCATCAGAACACAGCTGCTTTGAAGCTGAACCTCTTATGGAAACACTTCAACACAGACAAAAAACCAGTTAAAACTGTCATAACTTTGTATATCAACAGATAGTTCCTTTAATGTAGCATTTTATTTGTTATAATAACTTCAGCTGAAAGAACGCCTTTCAGTTTTAACATTAGCTTTATATGTTCTAACAGCTCTGTTCCCAGGAAGTTGAATATTGTAAAAAGTGGTAACTGTCTGACACATTAAACATCATATCAATACAGTAGCTAAAACTAGCAAAACAGGTATCAGTCATTAAAGTAGCAAAACAATAGCTAAAACTAGCAAAACAGTTATCGCTCATTAAAGTAGCAAAATAATAGCTAAACTAGCAAAACAATATCTAAAACTAGCAAAACAATAGCTAAAACTAGCAAAACAGTTATCACTCATTAAAGTAGTAAAACAATAGCTAAAACTAGCAAAATATCACTCATTAAAGTAGCAAAACAATATCTAAAACTAGCAAAACAATAGCTAAAACTAGTAAAACATCACTCATTAAAGTAGCAAAACAATAGCTAAAACTAGTAAAACATCACTCATTAAAGTAGCAAAACAATAGCTAAAACTAGCAAAACAGTTATCACTCATTAAAGTAGCAAAATAATAGCTAAACTAGCAAAACAATTTCTAAAACTAGCAAAACAATAGCTAAAACTAGCAAAACATCACTCATTAAAGTAGCAAAACAATAGCTAAAACTAGCAAAACAGTTATCACTCATTAAAGTAGTAAAACAATAGCTAAAACTAGCAAAACATCACTCATTAAGGTAGCAAAACAATAGCTAAAACTTGCAAAACAATAGCTAAAACTAGCAAAACAATAGCTAAAACTAGCAAAACAATAGCTAAAACTAGCAAAACAGTAGCTAAAACTAGCAAAACAGTTATCACTCATTAAAGTACCAAAACAATAGCTAAACTAGCAAAACAATAGCTAAAATTAGCAAAACAATAGCTAAAATTTGCAAAACAATAGCTAAAACTAGCAAAACAGTAGCTAAAACTAGCAAAACAGTAGCTAAAACTAGCAAAACAGTTATCACTCATTAAAGTAGCAAAACAATAGCTAAACTAGCAAAACAATAGCTAAAACTAGCAAAACATTTATCANAAACTAGCAAAACAGTTATCACTCATTAAAGTAGCAAAACAATAGCTAAACTAGCAAAACAATAGCTAAAACTAGCAAAACATTTATCAGTCATTGAAGTAGCAAAACAATAGCATCCCTGGCACCTGATTGGCCACCCTAGGTACCACCCCCACATGATTGACAAGAGGGAGTGGTAATCACATTTGGCAATAAAAGATGGTTGGTTAGAGCTAAAACCAAGTAAATATCTGTTATGCAGCTGTGATATCTAGTATAGTTGGAACCTCTCAGTGTGTGAAGAAAAAAACTTTTCTAAAACATTGAATTAATATAAAAGCAACAATTCCACCTCACCAAGTTTCAGCTCAGTATTTCTAAAAATGGTTGAGATCTAACTATTTGAAATTAGCTTTGGTGACCTTCCTGGATTTTGTTTTTACATTCAGATTTAGTTGAAAATTATTCTTGGCTACAACTATATACATACATTTTCAGATGTGTATTTAATGGCTTTATTTATTTATTTATTTATTTATTTATTTATTTATTTATTTATTTATTTATTTATTTATTCATTCATTCATTCATTCATTCATTCATTCATTCATTCATTCATTCATTCATTCATTCATTCTAGCATTCATTCTAGCATTCTTCATGGGAACAGATCAGGACTGCAGACTGAACAGCTCAACACCCTCCTTTGTGTCGAATGTAGTTTTATATTTTATATGTTCATGAACTTCTTTTTTGTGTATCTGGACAGAAAACACAAAGAGTTTGCAGAAACAAAGCTTGTTTATTGTGTTCATTTTTGTCTACATACACTCAAAAAACAGATGTGTTGGATTTCCTTAACTAAAACCAAGTTATGTCAACAATTTCCACTCAAGTGAGTTGATACATGTAACACAACTTTCGCATTTATTTTTTAAAGAAAAAGACATAATTTAGTTGAGTAAACCCAACAATCTCTTTTTTGAGTGTAAATCTGCTGTATTCTGATTTTGTTGTGTTTAAATTTGGTTGTGAGCTAAAATGATGGTTAATTAAGTGGTACTGCTTTAGCCATATAGGATGTTAAAATAAGTGGTGCAAAATGAATTTTTTTTGGCCTTTTTTTCATCATGTGGAAAAGAAAAATCAGATAAAATATATCTTTAGAGCAAAGAGCCTCAGATAGTTCCAGTTTTAGTTTTAACTATATAACTGATTTTCTCATATAAACTTACATTTTCTCTAATCTTTTTATTGTTTGGTCGTGTACTTTAAAAGTAAACATACATAAAAATAAATTACGATCATACTGTATAAAAATTACCTTTTAAATCACTGAATTTTGTCACAAAAAAAAACATAAATAAAAAAATATCACTGCACCAGCTTGAGACTGTGCTATTAATGCACAGTAAATATACAACTGTAATAAATGACAGGTTTGCTCACAAATAGCTTGTTAAAGGTATTCATTAAAATGAGTAAAAGTGTCTTTTTCTCTCCCACCTTTATTCTTCATTTAACTCTTTATCACTGCTCTGACACAGCTCGTGGATTTACTTCATCCTCTGGTGTGATCTTTAGTTTTACCTCTGATAAACAGACCTGAGAGAGAAACTCTGACTCCATCTTTTACATCCATCGTTTTTTAATCACATCTCCATTTCTGAAGCCCTGCGCCTTCTTGTAATCCTTTATCTCTGCACAACAATGATCATCTCACTGTCCAGGGACTGTGTGTGTGTGTGTGTGTGTGTGTGTGTGTGTGTGTGTGTGTGTGTGTGTGTGTGTGTGTGTGTGTG